CACACACACACACACACACACACACACACACACACACACACATTCTAATCTATTCTACTCTACTGCCCTTATGCATTATGCCAATGTTTACTGAGCTACTAGTACTTTGGTGATTTGCAGATAAAATGTTTTCTTCGTGGTGTGCCAAATCTGGTTTAATAAGTCACCATTTTTCAAACATCTCTTTTACCTTACTGTGGTTTCCCCTCATATGACCGCAGGTTTAATTCCAGTCTGGCTCTTTGCTGCTTGTCTTACCTCTTTCTCTCCCTAAAATTCACGCTTGCACTGTGCTCACAATAAAGCCAAAAAGGGCCCAAAATAAAGTGATCAATGCTTGTGGAACAAAATATAAAAATACAATTATATTTAGATGATTGTAAGATTCAAAAACATTCAACAAATTCTTCCCAGTTTTGTCAGCCACCCACAAATCACTACTTATTAATAGGACGCTACTCAACCTTTGAGCGGATTTGAATTCACTGTTTAGCTCGAGCATTTCGACAGGGCAGATATTGATGAGTACTCCACTCAATTATGTTCAACAAATCTGTAGTGAGACTCCTGCAAACACAGATCTCAAGAGTCTGTTCCGTGATCCTGCATCGTCTCACTCGACAGTTGTAAATCCAACGTTTTCGTCCAGATTTTGGCATTTAATTCATGTATATTCCCAAAAAATTTCAGGCAAACAAGTTGTAACCAAAAAACTACAGCAGCTTATAAGTAAGAGAAAGAAAACCCTGAGTCTAACACTGCTGCCTTATCTGTAATAATTCCTCTAATGCAGCTGACTGACATGGTGTTTTCAGTCTAAACCCAAATCTAAGCCCTCTGGCTTTATCAAGCTTTTCTTCAACAGCAGCAGCAAAATATGATGAATGAAAAATGGGCTGTCTGCCATGTCTTTACACAACACACAGGCAATTTAATGCAGGTGTTCTGAGAACTTGTACCTTGTTTTAGTGGATTACACTTTGAATGGCTGAATCACAATAAACACACCTCGGTGCTCAGTCTCTTTCAGATCAGATCAAAAGGTTCATTAGTAGCATCAGTGACAATTATTCAAATAGCATTCACATTATATATATTAGGGTTGTTGTAAATTTACAGTGGGCTCTGTGTAAAAATTTAAAAAGTTGAAATGAAAAGAATGTTGAATTTGAGGTTATTCATGTCACATTTAGCAAGATTTTCTCTCTGTATAAGACCTTCTTTATAAATTGTTGGATTTTCAATTTACATTTCGAAATGTTCTCTACCCTGATAAGATTTTCTTGCTTCTCTGGGTATTAGTTTGAAATCTCTCAAGCTTTACTGTCGTGTTTTTATCTTTAAAGCATATTTCCAAAATATAAACATGACATAAACAGATTAAAATAACCCTTGGTCTCTGTCATCTTTGTGGTCAATGACTTTGACCTCCTCTCAGTTGATAGTGTTGTTTTTTGTTGTTAGAGCTTTTTTATTTCTCTTTGCTCCATAGCCCCTGCAGTATTATAAAACTCCCCACCAGAGATTTCAAAGTATGTTATGATATGTGGACATGTGGTGGCTCTTGAGAACTCTGGGTAAATGATTTGACAGATAAATCTATATAAGGAGATTATTATAATTAAATTATAATATAAGGTGTTCTCACAGGGAAGCATCTGTTGATTTGTATATTTTAGTGGGTGAATCCTCTATTTCCACGATCAGTGAGTGTCGGTTTATGATCTGTCAGAACTTGTTTCATAGGATGCACATCAACAGTGCTTGTACCTGATCTGCACGGCCACACACCAATACACTGTGAATGAATTCATGGTGTTTGCACTCATTTGTAAAAATGAGAAGTGCCAAGAGTAGTTACATAAGAGACTTATAGAGAGAGAAAGGTTTTCTTCTTTCCCACCTCTGAGCAGCAGACCAATCACAGCGTGAAGTGGCTGGACATGATCTATATGTCGTGTCTAGAAAGTTAGAGCAATGGTTAGGAACACTCCAAATCAGTTTTGGTTTATGACTGTGTTGAAGGCAAGAACAGACTGGGTTTTATTTCTTGTTGCTTGGCAGAACTGAACAAGCTGTAACCACAACATTGTCGTATTATTAACTGATTGAAAATACGTCCATGTATTGTAAAGCAATATAAGCATTTCTTCAGAGGCTTTTTCTTTTTTTTTTTCTTCCTTTTGAATGTCAAAAAAAATAAAGCACTTAGCCTGTCTCACTTGATTTTCTTTTCTCTGAAAACATCTGGCTGCTGCTGAAAAAAGGTTAAAAAGAGCAGTAAGACTGAATTAAGACTGTGAAGTTTAGTATTGAATGTGGTAATTCCAGTGTTGGAAGTAATTTTAGTTTTACTTGAGTAAAAGTACAAATGAATAAACAAAATTGCACTCAATAAAATTACCACATTAACTTTTCAGTAAAAATAAACAAGTGCTGTCTTTTAAATACACTTAAATACGACACTCCTTATTGATTATTTAAAAAAAATATGAACATAAAACGCAATGTACTATAAATGTAGCAGAGTAAAAAGTACAGATCTTTGCTGACGTGTATATATAGTGGAATGAACTCTCTTTCTGTCTAACCCCTTCAACAGTGTGGCCAGTCATGACCAGCAGAACCTGATGACCATCGCTAACCTGGGTGTGGTCTTCGGGCCAACTCTGCTCCGCCCCCAGGAGGAGACGGTGGCGGCCATTATGGACATCAAGTTCCAGAACATTGTGGTGGAGATCCTCATAGAGCACCATGAAAGGGTGAGACGTTGTGTGAGCATGTACACATGAATAACACCAACATTAGTGTCTGGTGACGTGGCACAGGCTTAAATGAAACCCCTGGCTTTGTCGAGGGGATTAGGGGGATTGTGTGCATTAAATCAACAATTAATGCACCCAAACCATTATATCTGAACCCCCACTACACACACACACACACACACACACACACACACACCGAATAACTATCTAGATTGTACTGCACATACACTTCAAAGGTTATTGGCAGGTCAAGCTGCTTACAGATGTCACCATGGCAACAGATACATCAGCGTTACTGTTGGAAACTACAGTGTGTTGAAACACACACAAACACACACACACAAGAACACTCATCCTTCAGACTTTCCGGGCAACAGCTGTGTGTAGTGCATGTGATAGAGCGAACCTGCGTCCTCTCAGAGATCAAAGTCCTTTTACTGTACAGAGGAGAGAAATGACTATCTGCCCCTGCTACACAAATAAAAGCACGATCAGTCTATTTTTTCTGACATTTTCTTAGTTTAATTTGCTCTGTGATGTAATTTTTTACTCCTTGACGTTATAACTAAAGGTGAGAATGTCCTGGACTAAAACTTTTGTGCCTCATGTGATTCCGCTAAAGACATTTATTTAGCTTTTCTGCAACCAAAAACAATCAATGCATTGTGTTAAAATGTTTTTTTTACTGCAACTTCAGTTTTTTTATTTCTCCTCTTTTACTCATTTGAGTGTAGCCACTTACTATCGCTGGCACAAAAGGCATACTTTTTACTTAACAGTGTCAGAATCAGTTCCACAAATTGTTGACTAAAGTCTTTAATTTTGTTAAGATTTTGCAAATGTATTAATTTCCTGTTGAAAGGAAAGAGTACATTTATTGTGTTGCTTGTTTGGCAGAACCAGAGCTGCGATGGTTGCAATGTATTTTAATAAATCCAGAAATTAAAATGAGATTCATACCGTATCAGCTCATGTATTAAAAGCAAATAATTATGAGTAAACATAAAGTGACCCCACTATATAATAAGTGGTTAAACATGTCAAGTTGCTTCATTTAAGACTAGGTTTTGTATGTGATTACAATCTTGACCGTTGCATTGTTTTGCATGTTTTTACAACTAAACACGACACTGTTATTACTGTTTTTGCCCTACATGCGATAAGATAATAAATCTTCATTGCCTTGCAGTCACATATGAAGCCATAAATTACTTGACATTTACAAGAACATGCTGTACACATGTATTTAATTGTTCTGTGCAACGGTTTGACTTTTTCTCCTCAAAATTTCTGTATTGTTGATTTAATTTTATTTAAACCTCACTGTCTTGTTTGCACAGATATTCAAGAACGTGCCGAGTTCTGCAGGAGGTTCGACCAACCCGCAGCTTAACATGTCCAGGAGAAAGAGCACTGACAGCAAAGCACCCTCCTGCAGTGAGAGGCCTCTCACACTCTTTCACACACCAACACATTCACAGAAAGGTGAGCTGAGCAACTTAATTTGTCTAATACACATAATTGTAACCACTTTTTCTCTCCCTTAGTTTTTTCTCTTCTCACGACTGCTCTGTCTTGCAGTATGGTTGGCTTAGAGAGAAAATAAGACTACCAGTCTTTCCAGCTGTGGCTATTATGGTGTTTTCAGAAAGAAAAATGTCTGTTTTTCTGTTAAGAGTTTGCAAATATTTTTCTTTTCATGTAGGTGAAAAGAGGAACAGTGTTGCCAGTGCCACAGCCAACGAGCTGCAGCAGCCGGTCTCCTCCTCCTCTGCCAACTGTAACAGCAGCAGTAGTAGCAGCAGCAGCAGCCAAGGCCGAACCCCAAGACACAGCCTGACCAGCAACGACGGAGAGCAAGACACGCGGCAGATCCGCCCCAGTTCACTGTGAGTGCGACAGAGCAATGACATAGAACTCATGCTGACCGGTGCAGTTCCTCAGGTCTGCCTAGGTGGTTATGTTTCACCAGCATTACGCAAAAACTACTGAACGGATTTCTATTACATTTTGTGGAGGTGTGCAGCATGAGACAGACATGATCTTATTACATTTTGAAGTGGATCCAGATCAACAGATTGATCCAGGAATACCTTTTTCTTAACTTTCTTTAATATGGCATTGTAGGGCTTTATCCCTGCCTCTGCACTCTCCAAGTGCAGCACTAGTTATTTTGTATTCAAAAATAGAGAATTGTTGACTGATTAATTACATCAACAACAATTTAGCAGTGTTGCAATAATAAAAACATGTAAAATATAAAGAATATTGCTAATATGAAACCAGATTTAAACTGTACCATTTGGTTTCCCTTTTTACCTTCTTTTCTGCAACCTTTGACTTTTTCTAGCTGTTCTTGTTTCCTATAAACAGAAGTGAGAAGCATCTAAGAGATAACAAAAACTTTTGGATGTTAAAAGATGCAGCTTAGTGAAATTTGTGCAAACAATATTATTTTTATAAAGATGCCAAAAGAAAAAAAGAAAATAAAAAAATAAATTAGAAGCATGTTTGTGAGTGAGGGGTGAAGGATGGAAACTTTGGATACACAAAGAGACGCACTGTGGATGCACACATGTGCAAACATTAACTTCAAATGCACTCACAAACACATGGGTTCCAAGAATGTACACACACATTTTTTTTTCATGCACACAGAAATTCACAGGCACAGGAATGCATGACCACATGCACACACATCAGCACACATGTGCATATGTGGCAGCTAAGAGCTTAAGCAGAAGCAGTCTTGTGAGTGTCGGGTTGTCGGTTTAAATCCCAAAAGCATCTGGAAAACATTTGCGACAAGGAGCTGAACTCTGAACTGCACTGACAATCGTATCCGTGCTCCCCCTCAACGAGACTTAAAACCAAGTACACAAAATCCCATTCACATGTATACACAATGTTTGAGGGAGCGGTTACATAATGTGCATGTCCTCACACTGTTTGGCCTCCTCTCAGTGTTTGAACAGTAGTTTACATAACTAACAGAGACCAAGTGAAACAGAAATAGTTCTGCAGGTCTGAGCAAGCCCAGCTCCCTGTGAGAAGTGCCATACATCTTCATATAGACACTGGACATGCCTACACATCGTAAACACACACACCTTCATATGGAATTCACAGCGACATGATGCTGAGCGTACACACATAATGTTCATTTGCAGACACACAGTGTCGTCATTTGTCAGTAAGCGTGAAGATCATCTGTTCAATGATTTGCTTTTTTCTTATGAGCCACTGAAGATGCCATATGCACCACCGATAATTTCATTCATTGAGTGACAGACCTGCAAATACAACATGTTGCCAAGACAATTTCACGTTGCCACTGATTACTCTTCCTCCTGGTTTATCTCCACCACCTCCTCTCAGTCCTTTACTTACTTACTTCCTTCATGACATTCTTTAATCGCTGTTTCACAGAACAATATAGGATAAGCAGTAAAGATAATGGATTGATCAATCACGAGTCATTGTCAGCTTTCAATCATGACTTTTCAAGCTTTAAATTAAACCTAACTTACTGGAAAAAATAACTCTCGAAAAAACATCAGTGTGATAAGAACTACCTTAAATGACAGAAAACACCTTTGAGAAATAATTATTTGACTTTTTAGTTTTGTTTATGTCCCATTCACTGACATGAAGGAGGTGGAGTTTATAACTTAAAATGCAGCAGTCCACCAGGGGGCGATCATCAATATTATCATCATAATATTTGTCATGACTTCATCCCTCAGTCATGTGAAAGAAATTTATACTTTTTGTCTTTTTAAACACTAAAAAACTTACCACAGTAAATAGACAATATACTGTAATAACCGCAGAGAAAAACTATCTCACTTTATTATGTCTTTACAGCTTCAGTAAAGTCCTCTGAGCAAATGCTGCAATGATACCAGCTTACATAAAATGTGCTGTATTTAACTGCTGCTGTGTCATAAATCTGAAAAGTAAGGAAATGTCCACATAAACCTCTTGGCAAGAAGCTTCATCCTCTAAAAGTAACTAAACTGTCTCCCAAGTTTGAAATTTATGATTCGTTTTTTAAATGAGGTGCATGGAACCTCGTGTATGTGTGAACCGTGCTTCAAGGGCAAAATCTGAACTTGATGTATAAGGACACACTTTAAATTCCAGCTGTGGATTTAAGTCAGAGTGATTTCACACCTTGTGTGGACACGTTCTGTCCTGAAATGTGCGTTGGACCACACTGCGGAATATCTGACCAACATTTAATTCGACTGAAAAAGGTGGTCACGGTCCAGATCAAACTGAACCATCGTTCAGTTAGTTTGAAAACACTTTTTTGGATAGTTCGAAATGGAGGCTGTACTGTCCTCTCTAGAGACGGGGTTTCTGGCTCACAGGATTGCTAGCAGTCCTCTTCCCTGACGATATAATGGTTAAACGACAAGAATGCTTGTTTGGTGCTTTCAAACTAGTGTTGAGTACTTCACCTTGTTGATGCTGGTAGTGATAGCAGCAATGAAATTACACTGGCATTCAAACACTCCATTTAAATGAAACATTTCAGTTTATTAAAAAAAAGTATCGACAACACAGTGACATTAGAGGCACGCTCGCCAACAAACCAATGAATGTGAAACCAGAACTAACTAGATCAAAATATACAAACATGAAATGCTTGTTATTTTTTACTAATTTTAGTTAGTTTGATTGGGTGTGTTTATCCTTTTTTTTTCTTCCCCGCATTTCTCATCCCAAAAGATTGAATAGATATGTCATCACAACAGCTCGCTGGTGATGGAGATGGCTAAAGGTGCAAATAATAAAAATAATAGAAAAATACCTGTAAGGGAGGGTTTATCAAGGAGGCCAATGCCGCCTATAGCACAGACTATCATAGCTTTCCAGGAAATGCCAACGTGTGTCCTCGTCACAGGTACGAGAGGTTCGAGAAGTTCAGAGGTGGACAACTGTCTCTTCAAAAACTCTGCAATAATGTAATCTGAGGCAGATGCTATTTTCAGCTTTGGCACCTTTTGTCGTCCTGTTTTTACAGGTTGTTTTAAGCTGAGAAATGCCAGCAGGTCTTTTCATAGGCTTCACATACAAATGATACAATGCAGGAATAAATAAATAGATAGATGTTCTGAAATACGCTCAAGAGCAGCAAACGTGATCAATATAACCCTGCAGACTTGACCCGCGACCTGATGTACATGAGCAAATCGAGTTTAAATGGCAAACGTCACTTTCTATCTTCTTTTTCTGTCTGTCGGGCGAAGTCAGAGTCTTTTTATTTGTTCCTGCAGCCTGTTTGGCATTTGAAAGGAGAAAAAGAAGTGAAGAGAAAGTCATGCAGAAAGATTAGAGGTAAAGAGACAGAAAGTCTAAATTTACCACAACAGAGAAAAAAAAAGAAAAGCTGTAAAAATCTCCATGGTGACTTTAACATTTAGGAAACCTGTCATAGAAATATTTCCTCCACACAGCAACACACACACACACACACACACACACACACACACACACACACACACACACTAGACTAATGTGTCGGCTTCTGCTGCTTTTACTGATGAGCTGATCCTTGAAAATGGGTTTTAAATTCTTGATCAAAGTTCTGTGTAGGACATTTTCTATCCTCTGCTTTCTTCAGTGACTTTGAGCACAACAATAGTAAGAACAATCTCTCGCTGCATCATAGTGCGGCTGCATGTTCCAACTTGATCTGTTTGGATGTTGATCAAAATTCCACATAAATCAGAATAACGAATCAACAAGTGAGCAAGCCTCATCATTGCAACTGAAAATAAGCGTAAACCAGCCGCTTATTACTTCTTTGCTGTGATTGCTGTTCATTTTCACATAAAAGCCAGGTTTCAAACTGTGGAATGATGAAGTCACAAACAATTAAAGGCCAATTACAGGAAAAACTAAACAAAGACACTCAGAAAAATGCATATACCTCCATTAAAAGTCCCTTATGAAACCCCAGATTCACTATGTCTGCATGTATATTTAGATCTGCACCAACTTACGCACGCTATCGTGTCAGATATCAGTCCTCTAAATGTGCCTGATTATTTTCATCAAGATCCACGAATTCTATCCTGAGAAATCAGTGAAACTGTCAGAAAATCGCACAATGATATAGAATGTAATCCATTAGTGGATATATTAGTCGTCAAGATCTGCACCAGATATGCACCAACATTTGATGGATTCTTTCTTGGCCCATGTTCCATCTTTTCCATAACTTTTGTGGAGATCAGATCAGTTTTTGCATAATCCTGCTGACAAACAAATCAATAAACAAACCAATGAGCTGGCGTAAAACACTAGTTATAATAATAAAAACTATATTTAATAGAAACTGAAAATAATAGAATCATCATAAAATCAGAGAGCAGAGTAATAACAGGAAATAACTGAAAAATCTGTTGGAAGAGTTGCACTGATCAGGTAAAAGGAAAAGAGGAAATGACGAATTAATTTGTGAGTGAAAATGTTTTTCTCAAAAAGGAGAAAGCGAGAGCAGCAGACTGGTGAGGGTATAATTATTGCAGCAGAAATGGAAATTACACTGAAATCAAAACAAGTAAATATCGAGGAGATTTGTTTTAGGTTTGCATTAAGAAGCAAAATGGGAAACAAAGCCACAGTTTTCTGCCGCTGAGGTAAAATATTTTCTAATAAAGTAAAACAGTAAGAAAAACCGGTCAGGTTCAGTTCTGTCCTTGTTTGTATAGAGGCGTTTCTTAACCAACGTAACTCATCTAATCTCTTCTCTGTCCTCTCAAAGTTCTTTCAATCAGCAGTTGTCATCACGACAACAAAGATAATTTAGGGCACGATGGCGTGAGCCATCGCGTGTGACATCAGCAGGAACCATAATTTATGATGCTCATTGCTGAGATCTTTTTGCACCCTTGTGTGTTTTTACTGGTGCCCAAACCTCATATTGAAATGTCACGCGGGTCATGCAGCTTTACGGTGCGTGCAGCCTTTAGGCAGTAGACGATACATTCCTACTTGAGGAATCTCTATCAGGTTGTAAACTGTAATTTGTCACTGTAAAAACAGATGTGATCAATGCAACTGGTGACACGAGAGCGGCGAGTGAGTTGTTGCAGTGCAGCAGAATTTATTAATCGGAAACTTTGGTTACAGCAGTAATTTGTTGACCTGCGATGTCTATTTTTAGTCACACGTTGTTGTAGGAAGCCTTCAAGTGTGCCTCTGCCTTCACTGTTAATGAGATGGAAGTATGTGCCTTTGCGTTAGTGCTACGTGGAGCGCGTGGGTGTGTTATGAGATAGTCAATAAATGGCCTGTGAGGAGGAGAAGGGAGAGGCTACGGATATATTTAATTAAATGGAGCTGTCAAACGTGCTGTGAGGGTTTGTTGAGGCTACGTTCACCTCAAACCTGTTGATTCACTTTCTAACCTGGAATCTTTGGAAGTTTTTCCTGTGAAGTCCTGTCTGAGAAAGAAAAAGAAAAACTTTCCAGTAATAGATCTTTAGACACATAGTTTGACATTCTCTGTATCCATGTAGGGGGGAATATTGTGCTCTCATACTGTAACCAACAGTGTGGTGTGGTTACATGCTGCTGCTTCACTTAAACCTCTTTGTGACTCTAACAGCAACAAAATGTCGGTAATGCATAGAAGCTATGTAGGTCATGTATTCAACAATCTACAGAACAAACTACGTGCACATGACTCAGCACAAATATTAGTTCATTTCTGTTTGACCAAAATGTTTGTTTGAATCAATAACGCGAGTGACTTTGTTTGACTTGGTTCCTTCAGGCAGTGCACGCAATCATTCTTGAGGCAGAGAGCCACAGTAGTGCTGCTTTTTAAAAAAAATATTATTTTCCATTATAAAATGTCATTCGTCTGTTTTTCAGCTGATAAGACCACATAAAGGAACTATTAAAACTATCAGTTCCTCCTCGCAGCTAAATGTTTTGGATTTTATTTCATTTTGCGCAACAAGCTGGGAACTCTATTCTTTGGAATTGAAACCTAATGCAAGCAGACCTCAGTGAAAGAAGAAAACCATTCAGTGTCAGGATTTACCTTGTGGCGTAACTAGTCTTAACTTTCTGTTTTTAGGCTGAACCCAAAAGGTCGTGGCAGCATCCCAACCCAAAGGTATGAAACTATGTCTTGAATTTAACAAAGTCACATTTGTCACTTCTGATAAGTTCCTGATCTGTATATGTTTAGTCCTTTTTTCTGTATTTCATATTTTGTGTGTATGTCTCCATCAGTGCAACGTCTCCCAGCCCCACCTCACCACGTTCTCCCTCCTGGCCGATGTTCTCTGCCCCGTCGAGTCCTCAGCCAACGTCCTCGGCCTCCAGTGACTCCTCTCCCAGCAGGTTGGTCCACATTGTTTGTGTAAGGATTTTTATCACAACTGATCAGTGAAGCGAATAAGGAGTTGTTTCTAGGGAACTCTTGAGGTGAAAATGTGTGCAACTGTTTGCAGATGACACGACAATTTGAGTGCAGAGGAAAGAAAATCAATGAAAGCAGTGAATGTATCTTCTATAATAAGAAGTGTTGGGGTGCTGGGATATTTGATTCAAGCACTCATCAAGTGCTACTCTGTAAATGAATACTGTTAGCAATAATTTAAAAAATTTAACATCTGGAAAACCATGAACAGCTTTAATTAAAAAAAATATATATTTTTTTTTGTAATATTTGGCATATTCCTACAAGTGTCTTCCCAGGCGCAGTGTTGTTTAACAATACGCATCCACTCTAGTAAGATCAAGAACTTATCACATACTTGGACGTCACTTCCAACCTTCACTGTAAAAAGATGGAATTTAAAAGTGTGATTTTTTTTCCTCGGGGAATAGCATCTTAATGTCCTTTTCTTATTTTTACTCAAATTAGACCGTATTTGTTTTTTATGAGCTTCTCTATACACATTTTAATCCAGAATGTACCTCCATCTTTCCACTGCCACCCTGTCCTCCAATCACAAACTAAAGCTGTAACAGAAATGATGTGTCCAATAAAAAACAAAACAAAACGAGGACATAAAATCCAAAAGACTTCAGGAGGATCACATCATTTAAATTTGACCTGTAATGTGCGAATGCAGCCACTTGGCATATGGCACTCATATAAAGTAACGACCTGCCTGTGGCTTGAGCAACTGAAAGCATTACTTTAGCTTTAGTTTGAGGTAAATGAAGCTTTGTAAACTTTGTCTTCCTAACTTCCTGAATGTCTCCAGCATTGTGGGCAGGAAGGCTCGGGCGCTGTATGCCTGCAAGGCAGAGCATGACTCTGAGCTGTCGTTCATCGCTGGAACCATCTTTGAAAACGGTGAGTCAGCCTCTGGACCTGCCAGCAGAAAAAGGAAAAAGGAAAGAATGTGCTTTGGCTTTAGTGTAGAAACAAATAATTACTGTTGAAACAATATGTCAGCCCTGGGAATTTGCTGGACTTCGTTTTTTGAGCCCAGGTCCTGGATTTCACTGTTCAGGGTGAAAATATGTAAGTTATTCAAACTTATCTAAACAGTCAAAGGTACTGGCCCAGAAAAAATCATAACTGAAAGGCTTTTTAACACCGTTTTCCCTCAGTTACAATTTCAATACTTAATTTTTTGGCTACTCGATTTTCTCCCTGGAGGAAACAGGAAGGTGTGCTGGAGTTGCATAACACTTTTTAATTACCTGTAATGATTTTTCTGTGTGTTACGTGTATTTTTATCCAGAACCAGAACACAGGAAAAAAACTCAGATATGCACTTTTTGTTTATTGCGTACTTACTACCATGATTATCACAAGTTTGCAAACAGACAAACTGTAAAAGAAGCAGTCAAGTGCAACGCAACCAAAAACCTAATATCTTTAAATGGAGGAGTTATTTGCTTTTTTTGGGGAAAAATAAATAAAGAATTCTTTAATAATTAAAATAGTTATTACAGAAAGTATTGAAAAACACATTTCTATTATTTAATGGCTTCCTTGCTTCCTTGCTGTTGTCGTTTATTTTCCTTTTCACCTCCTCTCACTGTCAGAGTCTTATGAGACAGACCTCTCTCTCTTCTCATGCCTCATTTCATTCCTCTTCAACCCTGAGCTCCCAAAATGTTTGTCTCTCCACGGTTTTCTTTTGCCCAACAGCTCAAATGAAAACCAGACTTGTGCAAACGTAAGCAAAGTAAAACTACTTTGAGCTGCTAAGACTTATAATAAGGCAGATAAGACATATGAACTGATTATTAGGGATTACATTTTTGGTCATGCCAGTTGACACATGTCCTCTTACACCCCCCGACCAGACCTAAATAGAGTTTGCAGCAAGAAGACTGTTCAGCTATGCAATGCAGAGCAGTGTCACCGGAGCCCCTTTTGGGCAAAATGTGACCTTGCGGACATGTAATCCTCACAGTGGCATCCCAACACCCCTGTGTGCTCATGGTGAGCCAAGAAGGGAGCATCCCAGCTGTCCCCACGGAGCTTATACTGCAGCCACACACTCTTCACAACACTGTTACAGTACATGGCATATAAATAAAGATCAAAATACAGCTGTCTCCTGCTCAGTTCACATTGGGTTTCTCTCTGTGTCAGCACGGTTTGTGAGTTCGGATAGTTCAACCAAATGATTTAAGTAAAGAGTTTCAGGGATAAACACTGCTGCAACCAAATCCAATGCAATAGAAAATGTAAATGGTGACCAAATCTTCAACGTAATAAACAGAAAAAACTAAAAGGCTCCATACTGCTCCTGTGGTGTCAACCAATTGTTCGTAAGCCCCGTTTTTAGCCTCTGTGATCCACATGCAAACACAGCTCCGTAAGAGGGTAACAGTTGGACATTTAGGCTTAAAACACCATGTGAATGATCCTGTTTCAAGTTGAATTTGAATGCTGTTTACCCTCCATCGGCATAGTGGTGAGTAGTTAAGGAGTAAAGTTACATTTTTGGGTGAACTATCCCTTTAAGTGCCTATTAGTTATGGAAAGGTTTGAGTTTTTCTTGAAATGTTTAAAGAAATTTAATGTTTCTGTTTTTTCTGTCTCTTTGCAGTTCATGGCTCCAGGGAGCCGGGTTGGCTTGAAGGGACTCTGGATGGTCGAACGGGACTGATACCGGAAAACTATGTGGAGTTTTTAAAGACTACGTAGTTTCTGGAATCAGGTCTGAATCGTAAAATACTGGACCAGATACCGGATTTGACTGCACAAGACTGGACAGACATTAGCTCGCATACTGTAGCGGACCGGACCGTTGTTAGAGAACTGAAACTGGACCAAGCAGAACCATATCAAATGGATGTGATGCAGAAGTGAGGCGGAGCGGACTGGGCAGAGACCCATGAATTGCACTGGAAAAAAAAAAAAAAAATCCCTGTGTGGTTTGGATGTTATTGGATTAGTGTGGATGACCCCAAGTCCTGATGATGATGTAATATGTGTGGAGAGAAAAGTGTATACGTGTGTGTGTGTGTGTGTGTGTGTGTGTGTGTGTGTGTGTGTGTGTGTGCGTGTGCATGTGTGTGATATCTGGGGTTGATATTTCTGAGCTCTGAGGCTTGTGATTATTTTTCAGCCCTTGCTTTATTATTTCGAGCTTCAGCATCTCCTCTTATTTTATCATCTCCAAACAGAAAAGCACGATTGAGCGTTTAAACGCAGATTTGAATGATCCGGTTTGTGCTCAACGGCTTTGATATGTGTCCTTGCGTGCACTTTTCCGTAGCAGGCGGTTTATTCCCCAGAACAAGACTCGACCTGGCTAATGTTTCTGAGCAGGAACCCCAAGGCAGATCAGCAACGGGATGAGGTCACCTGGAAAACAGTCTGGCCAAAGGTCAGCATTCGGTTTCAGCTTTATTTTTGTAAATCAGGCCTCTCTCCCTTCAGAGCCCTCAAGAAAAATGTGAAAAATCATTGGTTCACAACGCAGCAAAGGAGAAAACAACGGATTCTGTTAAAACAAGCCCAGCTGGGAGACCTTGCTCCGTTTCCTCAGGCTCCGTTTTTTTGGATTACTGGAAATAACTTGATCCTGTATCATATATAGTTTAGAGTCATGTTTGCACTATTTCAATACATTCTGGGAATTCTCATCAAACAGGATGTTGTTTTTTTTCCACATCACAGAGCACTGGTGTTCCAAAACACCACTGGTCTGTTTCAGCCTCACTTCAGAAATACACGTGAACGATCATGTGTATTTATTTGAAGCTCGGGTGGTTTTCTTCATGTCGTAGCCATCACACAGATTATGTCAGTTCCTTTTTGTTTTGCTCCGGATGCTTTAATCTCAGCTTGTGAGGTTTGGAAGTAAGAATGTGACTCAGTTATCTTGTGTACATTATCACGCACCACAACCCCCTTTGTTTTTGTATTCGTGCACAATCACGACAATGCTAATAGTGTAATTGTGTGAAGAAGACTGTCATTTATGTTTGGGTCTGGTGTTTATAGACAAGACGTTCATTCTCAAGAAAATGAAATGCAGATGTGTCTTTTCAGAGACACAGAAAAAAGAAATCATTGAATTTTTCAGATACATGTGTGAAAGCTGATCTGCGTTGGGGCTCCAATGAATCTCCTCCCTTCATGAGTCAAAATGAAACTTTTTCCGTCAACCACTTGATGAACATCTGCATCGACTCTTCTGGAAAAAAAGAAAACGATTTTCATTGAACTTTTCGGACAAAATATTGAAAAACTTTTGTTCCATATTAACAGAAAGTTTTAAAAATGTGAAATGAGACTACTTTGTTCATCTAAACTTCTTATTTATGAGACTTTCCTGAACTGTGTTCTTTTTGAGGTGTTTTATTGACATTGTAAATAAATTCACAAACATTTGATAAGGTATAATTTTTTAAGTCTGAAATTTTATATTTTGTATTTTTAGCCTACTAACTTAATTCCTTCTTTGTTGCCCAACATTTTGTATCATTTAAGTCTATCTACAGCCTTAAATATTCCTTCAGATGTTTTGGTGAATTGATGAGCATGAGCAGAATTAAAGACAAATGTTGAACAGCTGCAGCTTTGATCCTTTTTCTGATTTAGTCTGTGATGTGAATATTTATACTGTGGCACTGTTCACACATGTTGCACTGCTTCCTCTGTGTTTTGTAATTTAACTGCAACATATGAGAAGTCGCACAAACATCTTCAGAACAAAACAAAGTAGTTTCAGTAGAATCGCTGCAGTAAATGGATTAGCTCATTGCTACATGCCCTTGACCAGACTTAATCTTGGTCATGTTGACCTCAGTATCAATCGTGCAAGTTATAAACATCACATTACCAAGCGTTGGACAAAACCTTTCCTGCAGTGGATGCACAAATGAATTTCATCTGAATAATTTTTGGTATAAAGCAGCACTTCTCATCAAACATATTATGGTTGAACTCTTAGTAGAACCTCTGGTACATCCGTTCACCTCAAAGTGATTTTAAAATGCAAGAAGCATGAAGTTAACTTAAAGGTCCACTGTGTAAGATTAAGGTGAAAGGGAACTATTGGCAGTAATTGAATGTAGAATAATCCTCATGATGTTTTCACTAGTAGTTTCATCTAAATTGTACAAATTGTAGTTTTCTTTCCCTTGAAAAGCTCCTTTATATTCAAATACTTTATATTTACATAGAGGGGACCCTCTCTACGGAGGCCGCCATGCTTTTTACATTAGTCCAGACTGAACAAACTTAACACCTTTTGAGTTTTTATGACAACTGAAGCTACCACAGGTTCTTTCTCATGTTTGGAAGTGGAGGGTGAGGTGAGGGGTGTTCAGCTGCAACATGCAACTTCAACACTAGATATCACAAAATTCTACACATTGAACCTTTAACTTGCTGCAAGATCACAAATTGGTCAATTTGTTCTTTTGTGTACAAACTAAAATAATACACAACATAATATTTAGTGAGCTTCTGAGGTCTTGGCTTAAGTGTTGTTGATTAGTTCATTAGTTTTGACAATTGTAGAGCTGGAATTTAGCAAAGTACATTTACTTAGTCCTTAGGCACATTTTTATAAATATAATTTATAATTATATACATTTATAGCGGGTAGGTAACATTAGACCCCATCCCCTTCAATTTAGCCATAATGACTGCATTAGTTACACTTGGCAAGTACTTTTACTTGAAATACTTTATTTAAAATTAAGTACTTGGCTTCATTTATCCAAGTAGTACAGTTGATGTTGTACTTTTACTTACTTTGTAACAATTTGATCTATTTATGTGTACTTTCACTTGAGTAAAATGTTTGCTCTAGCTCCAAACTCAACACAGACACGAGTGATGTCAGTCCTCTGATTTCATATGCAGAACAAATCTATAATGATCAGTTTTACAGGTTGGTCGAATGTCTCGTCATCATAATTTCAATGTCATTTTAGATCAGTTGAATTCTTAAATAAAAGACTGGGGCTGAGCGTTGGAAAACAGAAAACTTTATTGTGTAAGATGTTGGAACTAAAGAGAAATTAGTTCTTCAGAATTTCTGCTTTTAACCAGTGATGACCGAAAACATCGAGCTGTTACCGACAGGATGTCAAAGAACAACACAGATAACTTAATTCAACATTTAATCAAATAGGTGAAAATATCGACACTGACTACAGAAGAGGTGTAATACAGAAGTTATACAAACTATTGTTTTTTTAAAACAAACATTTTATACTTTGTTTTTTTTGTTGTCTTTTTTACATTGGATTACATTTACATAACTGAAATACGAACAGAACAAACCTTGATGAAAGCCATAGCCATATATAACAATGAAACATGATCTGCCCTTAAACTTTAAAGATAGTATTTGCATGTATTTTATACAAAATAGACTTTTATCAACCAGTTGGAGGGTAGTGCAATTCCATCAGGCTCTGGCAGATTTACTTTCATGTGGAGATTCAACAGGTTTTGTTTTTTCTTTTTTCCTCTTTTAAAGTGACCAGTTAATCCTCACAGCAATATACATGAGATCCAAAGCTTTGACCTTTACAAAAGATACCTTTTGAATAAAATAAGAAGTACTACAAGTTGGATAATAAGTGCTACTTAAAATGTAACTACTTGAATACTTCTTTTTGTTTGTTAAATTTTTTATTTTATTTCAAATCCTCTGCTTTGGTCACTCTATCACACTAAACCTTCCTCCCCCGTTTTCCTCATAACATTTAAAACACAGTGAGCGTTCATGTAGACCTTCCCATTGACTCGTAAAATTTACATTTACTTCACAAGACAAAAAAAAAAAATGTTTAACACTTCCTAATGTATTCAACACGTCTACCTCTTTTTTTTTTTAATCAAACACAAACCAACAAACAGAAAAAGAAAAATATTTACTTTCTTGACTCGTTCAATGTACAAAAAGGATTCGAGTAAAACTATTATATCAAACAGGATCAAGCGGATGTACTCAAAATTGCAGAAAATATTGTCTTTTTTTTTTCTTTACAACAGATCAATCTCCACAAGCATCGATATTTCTTAAGGGTTTATCTGTTTCCTGATTTGAAATCTTATTTCTATGGCTCACTGTCTCCCTTTCACAAGGCCTTTATTCAAACATGAAGCTAAAAGGCAAAAAGAGAAAATGTGTAGGAATATAGAGGTTATGTCTATGTAAAAATATTTTGTAGTAATAGACACTTTATGTTTAGAGGATATGTCTGCGCTGCTATATACACCTATGGCCATTTAGAAGTCAGCAGGGATATGATTACGTCTACATGTTAAAGCTGGTTTTCTGAAGCACCACCGCTTGGAAACAACTGTAATACTGTACGCAAAGTTACCCAAAAAGATAAGACGCTTCAGTCAAATCGTCCCCCGGAATCATCGACAAGGACGTGAGCCGCATCAAACCCATGTTCTTTAAAGCCTAAGGCCACAACAGCGCGTTCGCAGGTGAGGCTGAAAGCAGGCTCTGTACATGAAAACATCTCTGGTGCGAATGACCGTCCTTTGGCTGAATGGCTGATTAAAAACATGATGGGTTCTTAATGATTAGAGGCTCGTGTGTGTCCAGAGCCCGCTGCGCTGTTAGCTGTAAGCAACACACAAATGGCCAGTCTCTATGACAACCTGCTACCTGGTCTGTTAACCGCCATTCAGACTTATGGGCAACAGAAAGACGAGTACCATTCAGAGTAAACAGCTGAAAATCTATACGGGCAACATTTCAGGACTGAGAGGCTCAGCAGTGACAAGAAACATAAAGTTAAATATGAGCGGCGTCTATTTTGAGGTGTGTGTGGGGGTGTGTGTGTGTGGGGTAGGGGGGTGTAATTGTGAAGCCGGGGTACAACTGGTAATGAGTTTTTGCTTTGGCTGTCGCATTAAGCAGGTACAATCATATTTTCACGTTACAAATGTACCAAAATACTGATCACCACCTGCCTGACAACAAATAGAAAGTACTGCTTATTTTGCAAATATTTAAAAAATACAACATCTTGTGCATCTGCTGGAAAAAAAAAACTTACTTGAATGATAACAATCAGTACTTTTAAGCTGGTGTAGGTGTGACGCTGAACTCAAGATCTCTCTCATTAACGAGCGACCTTCAGCAGAGGGCCACGTCTCGTCAAATCACAACGGGATTATCACCCGATCACAACTCCAAGAAAGAAAGAAAAAACAAATCAAAACATAAACTTGCACATCACATTTGGCACTAGTGGAGAATCATCCAGGTGATGTAGTCACTCACAGCCTGAGCTTTGATTCAAAAATATTATCTGGACCAAACTGCATCTTCTTCCAAAAATATTTCAACTTCAGAGGTGAAATCTTGTGCTGAGGACAGAGGGTCCATTGATTATGTCTGTCTACAGCCCATATACAGAATATTTATAGATATACGTATTTATCTTTTCATTCATGTTGAGCTCAACAGTTTAATAATAACTCCAGGTTGGGTTTGTGCAAACACACTGAGATGAAGCTGATTAAAGGGTCGATTCAATCTAAAATGGTAATTGATGGTAATCATCAGGAGAACTACACAGTGAAGTTAATCATAAGCTTTAAGTATGTTGAAGTTTGAGAATTATTACACACTCATTATCTCTAAAATGGAACCAGTCTAGTAACCTTTACGAGGTGGCAACACACACCAGGAAATACGTCCGTCCGTACCTCTGTGATTTCTGAGATATCAACAGGCGGCAACTGACTACATGAGACATTTGAGTGTATTTTAAAGTGAATAAAAGTGGAACCTCAGTGTTAAAGCAGCTGGTGATGACAGGACGGGTTTGACTTATGGCTTTTCATCAACACACCCTCATGGGATCTGTTTAAAAAAATGCAGTTTAGCTCTTAAAGACAAAAAGCATCCATTTGAGCAATAAAAAAATTGCAAAAGTTTGTGAATAAAAAGTTGATTAGTCCAAGTCTTGGAATATTTAGGGAAATATATCAAAACATCAGATATTTCCAGTCGTATCAGTTTAGCAGAAAGCAGTTTTTGCTTCTTACCTCTGTTTTGGAATATATTTTTTGGCCCCTGTCCATTTTTCTGATTGTTTGTTTCACGCAAAAACAGATTCCCACTAAACTTGGTGGAAAGGACGGGACACGGGCAAAGAAAGAACCCGTTACATTTTAGAGGCAAATCCCCAAATTATTTCTATCACTTTCTTTACCATTGCTAGATTCAGCATTTTTTTTTTTAACTGATGGATCCTGAGTCAGCCAGGTTTAGATGACTGTTATTTATGAGTGTGTGACCTTCGGTGCAGCCCGATTGAATTTAATGAGGGCCTATGTTGGGCCTTGACGGAGGCATGTGCTCCACTGGGTGCTATTCTGGAGAAGAGGGGAAAATATTTGAACGTGTATTCAACATTATATTTGTTGAAATAATCAATGTACTGTAACTTTTAACACAATGAGATCTGAATCGGGAGATTTGGTATATTTGTCTAATACACGTCACACGGGGAAGAGACACATGAAACAACATTTTGTTTTCCTGAAGTTTTTTTAGGTGAAACTTTTTGAGATGAAAAAAATTAAGATCCTAACACTTCCTACTGCACCACACTTTTCCTATCTGCATGTTGTCGTGTCGTCCTCGTGTGCGTGTCTGGGGATCCGAACAGAGAGAGCTGCCCACTTTGAAAACACTGAAATGGCAATTTGGAAAGAAAACAGAAATTGCCAGCATGAAAAAGAAAAACTTAAAATAGAATGAAATATGTGGAAGGATGTCTGGGTTACATTCTGATGCAAAGAAACAACGGTTTACAGAGGATGGCTATGAAGAGCTTTAAAAAGCTAAAAGGCACTGGTTTTCCCTTCTCGGATACATCCCGTGTAAACATTTTGCTGTGTGACTGCATGTCTGCGTGTTCGTGTGACTTTTGCATGTGTGGTCAGAAAAAAAGGGAGAAAATCCTCTGGCAGTTTTTTGTTTTTTCTTCCCGTGGTCAGGTGAACAGCTGAAAACAGTTTGTCCTCACTGTCCTTGGGTCCAGAGGGGGAGAGAGAAAACAAAAACGATTGTATTGTATTGTATGTTTCTAATTTTGACTGCAGTTTTTTTATTTTTTTTATTTTTTTGTCCCTTTCGTCGTCAGAAGCTCTCTGAAAAACCACAACACAAGTGAGCGGCTCACTACATTCTCCGCACAGTGGAGCTGGGACGAAGCTGGGCAGGTGAGCAGAGGAACAGCAGGATTCAAACGTGGGGGCAAGCTCGCGCAGGTCGCTAATCCAGGGAGTTGGACAGAACGTAGGAAATGGTGGTGGTACAGAGTTGGCCGGTCTCTGAGAAAAAGCAGTAGAACAATGGAGGCAGGAAAGACGTGGGAGGAGAAGGTGACAGGGGGGTGGGGGTGGGAGGGGTAGATCACCAGCAGCCTGCCCACAAGACATTCAGAGCCAAAAGCATTTCCTCTCGAGGCCAAATTTCTTCCTGGGTAGCCGAGAGGAAGGGCCACAGGTCGGTAGCCGGGCCTCCTGCACTGTAGTCTGGCTAAATCTGTGAGCGGATTACGAGGCGTGAGGCTACAGGTATTGTGCTCTTGGAGGAGGATTTGAGTCATTGCTTCACAGTTTTAAGGCAGTCATTTCTGATGAAACAGCAGAGGCTTGACGCTCCCATCTTTGAATTTTGGTATCTGGTTGGTGATGATCTCCGCCAGCATCTCCGGGAATTCCACGCTGAGGGTTTTATTCACAAAGGTGTAGAAACAGATCTGGAGGAGGCCCTCGACCATCTGGAGGACGAGGAGGCAGAGACACAGACGGATTAGTGTCTTTTAATTTTGCAAGATGATCTTTGAATTAGCCTCAGGTCTATACACAGTAGATCTATACTTCTGCAATAAATAAGTTTAGGAGTAAATGAGAGCTGGAGATCAACTGGAACACATCCAGTAACGTTTTTACACACACACAGTGCACTGAGTCAGTAGAACACCAAGATATTGATGCACTTGATCCACGAGATATGAAAAAAAAATCCTGGTTTCTATAAAAGAGAAGGAAGGAAAGCCATGGAACACTTGGTGAGCACATGGTGAACTTCATGGACAAGATTGCTTTTAAATCTGTGATGTGTAGTGAATTCTTTATAAAACAAAGAATAGGAAAGACATAAATCATTTAGGTATATACTGTATCATTGTGTGTGTGTGTTCCTCTGACCTCCTGCATGGAGTCCAGTAGCTTAGTTAACTGGTAGAAGCGCTGCCAGTTTTGACTGGCGTTCTCCTCCCTCTTGACGATGGCTTTCCCAAGCTCCTTGATATACGTCATCCTGATCTCGTCAAACACCGCCTGGCTCTTCAGGCCGTCTTTTGGTACTACACACACACACACACACACACACACACACACACACACACACACACACACACACAGAGGAAAAAAGAAACATTTGTCAATGAATGATGCAGTTTCTTTGAACACAAATTTTATTTGTAGCGTCAGAAGATGTCAGGAACTGAATCGATAGATAAAGAAAACAGCTTTGATAAGAGTTTATCCCACAGAACCTGTCAAACAGGAAATATACATTTTTCACAGCTGAAAGTCTGAACCAAGATTCTTATCTTTACATTTGATCTGGTTAGTTTTGGTTTCACACTGCAGTTTAAGGAGCGCACTCAAGACATTTGTATGACGTGTACATCCTGTCGTCATCTGCATCTACCTATACTCTGCATTAATTGGTTTGATTGAACTTCTTGCTTGGGGTCTGAAAGTCTGAACTAAAAAAAATGTTTCACACTGCACATGAACTGAACCACGGCTCGTTTGATCCAGAACGAGAGACCTATTGTCTGAACCTGCACCTTTCATACACCTGTTATTTTGGTTTGGACTAAACTGAGTCTACAAGTCTAACGTGTGTACTGGAGGGGGTTGCGTTATCTTTAATAGAAATAAACAATTATCAGTGTACCCATGTTATTTAGATGTACACTCATAACTGTGTAATTTAGACACACTAGTAAATATATACATCTCAACAGCTGGTGATGGGAACAGCTGGTTATGCACATTCAAACATCTGTCTGAAACTGAAAATCCATCCAAAAGGTTTCTATCTGTATTAGTCTGTTCTTCATCCTGTTCCCCGCTGCAGCAAACAGCATGAGGCATTAAAACTTCATTAAAACTGACTGTGTGGGACCCCGACACAGACCCTCAGGAGAGGCTGGGTAAACACACACAGATGCACACATGCACCTCCGAACCAGAACGCTGTAGGCAGTGGAAAATATGCAAAGCTAAAAGTAACATCAAATGCTACCGTGCAGCGTTGGTGTGGCCTGGACAAGAGTCTGAGAGGAGACACTAATGTTTGGACACGCACCTCTAAAATGAAAATAAATAAATAAATAAATCATTCACTCTGCATGTGCAGCGTGTTTCAAAGACCGCACGCTGAGGATAAAAAAAAAAAAAAAAAAAAAACGTCAGAAAACCCACAAATGGATGAAAAAACATCAATGTACAGTTGCCATAACAACCACGTCAACGCATTATGGATTCCTCGTCAGCCGGCTGCCTGGCAAGGAGCCCAGGCAGAGCCACAGTCACCGACCTAGAGATTATGTGAAGCAAAAGAGGCCAGGATCAGAATGAAATACCGTCCGATTTACATAATCAGACGAGCGTTATCTGGCCTCTACATTATGCATTTGCAGGTTTGGCAGAGAGACAAGTTTTAGAGGAGAGAAAAGAGATTCTCTTAAAGCTTCACTGAACTAAAAAATCTGTTCTGTTGACTGACTGAAGTTTGTGTTCAACAGTAATTAATATTTCGTTATGCAGAAAGTGAGGTCGGCCTTCTGAATGCAATCGGCAATTCAAAAAAAATTGACCTTTAATTTTCAGTCCTGTGCACGGGGACCGACTCCAACAGCTCAAACCAAAGTTGTTCTAACCTTATAGTATTTCCATCCCTGAGGGGAACAGATGGAAATAGCTCTCAGGTAAGAACATGCAACCAGTGCTCCCTATGGAAATGTCATTTCCTCCACATAACGAGCAAATTGAGTGCATCCTTCCCCCTGCTCCTCTCTGAGTGTGGTGGAACAGTCACCTCTCCGGTAAATGTACATAATTGGGAAAAAGTCAGACATAGTAATAATTTCTTTATGCTGTATAATGTTACTCTGGTGATTTTAATGGTGATAATTGCTTTACAGGAATGGTCGCCCGCTGCTTTCATGACTCTTTTATTTTATCTTTTTAGAGAGAAAGGAAAGTGTGGGCTGGTAAACAGAAAAATATATTTTTTTTGTGCCTTTTTAATGTTAGAGACAATGATTGGAAAAATTTAGAACAAGGAAGATGATGATGTCCAATTTTCACTCATCAAATCTGAAATGATCAAAAATTGGGAAAAAGCTTTTTCAGTAGAAACTGTTTACCATAAAGTGTTCTAATTTGAGCAATTTGCAAACATGTCGATTACAAAGCCAGCACAAAGCCAGTTTTTTATGTTCCCAGATAAGTTGTATTGAACTGTGAGTTGTAATTTTCAAGCCAACTTTGGAAGCAAATCTGCAGTTACAAAACAAAGCAACGCAACTGTTTCTCTCACTGGGCAGAAAAAGACACCTGCTGTAACTCAATGGAGGCAGTGATTGACAAACCACACAAAAAAGAGCAAATGGTCACATTTGAGACATTGGAATCCAAAACTTTAAAGTAAAGAAACAATAAAAAACAGAAAAACCTCCGTGCCACAAAGTGAAATGTTTTTTAAACCAGATAAAAAAAGACTTGCATTTCTGATATTGTTTGCCCTCCATCCACAGCATTAACTACTACACTGTGACAAATGGATCCAGGAGCAGTATTACCTGGTCGATACAGTCGAAAATAGATTTCCAGATCTGTTTTAAATCTGAATAATTGTAGTGTGTGTTTGTTTAAAGCAGAGTGTGTTCTGTTACCTGTACTGAGCAGTAATAGGACCTTCATACACAGGTACTCGTCGTAGGACACCTGCAGTCTGACAAACTCATTGCAGATCTTCAGCATTTGCTCGCACTGGTCGGTCATGAAGGGCAGCTTCATTCGCTCTCTGAACGGAGGGCAGGAAAAGGCAATGGAAAGAGAAGAGACGTGGGCAAAGAGATGGTGGGGGGTTGTAGAATAGGTAGAGACAAACAAGGAAGAAACGGAGGAAAACGGAGAGAAGAGAGACATACAAATTAGATTTAAGCTCTTTCACTCATCCTGTTATTCTCATCCTCAATAAACAGCCCCAGCAGGGAAGCGCTTCAGCACTGCAAGAGGAAACCGGACTGTGAAATCAGTCCTGATGGATTTTCACACCTCGCTCCCACCAGCACACAGTCCACATTACTTTCTACCTTCAAAATCAATATAGATGCACATTCTCCAGATTTCTAGCCTGCTACCGGCCGTGACCTCTTCACCTTTCACATCTATTTTCAGCCCTCTTTAAGTTTACATGTCATTTGGGAGTGAGTCATCACAGCTCAGGTCTCTCTTTTTACGTATTTCAGATTGACGTGAGCTATTTGCAGGTTTTCAGGAACAAGAGCTCAGCAGGTTTGTTGGGTCCTTGTCATTCAGCGTGAAGTAAGAAACATTTACACTTTGGGCGGCAAAAAAAAACTTCCAAATGGCTGCATGAAAGTCAGTGGTTATATAAAATCAAGACCTCAAGACGTGTTCAGCAAACTGAAGAAACCAAGGTATGGTTAAATGGTAAAATATATTGAAAGTTATTGCTGATTGTCAAACTCTAGATTGAGAGATGCATTTATATTTTTTAGCTATATCAGTCCTAGAAAAAAAATTGAATATTGATGCATTATTACTTAAAAATATATTTATTACCACTCAATGTGCAAAATAGAAAATGTATATCATGTATCAATATGCATCATTTTTGGGAAACTGTGGTATAATCATCTATATAAGATTTTTTTAAATATGATACACAAGCCTAGTTATCTAGTTGTTGTACCTGTTGAATGTTGATTTCTCTGATTACCAGAAACTTAAAACATCCAATGTTTCAGCTTTTAGAAAAAGGCTAAAACAGAAGCTAGTAGAACACAGGCTAGGTGTTTGCAGTAATGGTTAAAAATAATAATGCCAAAGCGTATTAAAGTTTGGATAGTTATGAGGCAAAGAGAAGATGGATGAAATGGCCCTATGTTGTTTCACCTCTTAATAAGTGCTTGAATTGTGACCCTTCAAATTAGAACCAGCTCTTTGGGAACAGACAAGCTAACAGGGGATTAGTCTCGATCCTGTTTCCTCCAGGGACTGAAGTCTGTGGTAAACACTGACACAATCATTTTCTCACTGTTGAAGCACTGAGGTCATCCCTGCATGAAGAATGTGCTAATGCAATAAGCAAATAAGAGCTGATCTGTCCACGGAGCTCTTAAACACTTTACGCCTTTCTAAGTGAGAATTAGATAAAAATTCAATTCCACTCATGTCTGTGGGTTAAGCAGCAAGTGAGGAGGTGATGAGCTAAGTTTAGCCTCAACACAGTTTGAATCAAATTTCCCAGAATGTTAACTTATGTTTCAGTTTTATTTTGCAGTAAATTAATCTTTGTTTCAGTTAAATTTCTCTCTATATTTCTCTCTACTTCAGTTCAATTTCCTCATAAATTCCTCTTTGTTAGAGTAAAGTCCTGCATTGATCTACCTTCGACTTGCCCTCTCCTCTGTTCAATCTGAGTCATTGACAGAAACGTGTTTGAGCATGTAAGCCAAGTGATGAAGTGACAGCGACACCCCAAAATGAGCGAATGCGAAATGAAACCGGCCAACAGAATGTGGTGCTGAAGAGCGGACTGCATAAACACACAACAGCTGGCCGTGGTACGCACTTGTTGATGACGAGATCGGGGGCGAAGCAGAGCATGTTGCCGTTGCACTGCTCATACGATCTCCAGCCCAGACTGAAGGACATCAGAAAGAGCCAGGAGCACTGCAGCAATGTCATCTGGTCGTCCAGGTGCAGGTTGCGGAAGCCTGGGAAGGTCAGAAGAAACCCATTACAAAATATAGGCACAAAAACACAAGGTGGACAGAGAGAGAAAGACACACACACACACATTCACACTAAATAGAGAGGGATAATTTAATTTGGGGGTGTTTAATAATTCTAATGTGATGATGTCTTAAACTGAATACTGTGGGATGAGGCATTTATTCATGCTCCTTTTTTAATGCACTGCACAATATCTTTAAATCTTTAATGGGAATAACGTCACACTGAAGAAAAGGAAATGTAATCATTAAAACACAACTACACAGCCAGCTTACACTAAACAGAAAAGGACAATCTAATTAAGTCGCTGTTCGAAATGGATTCAAACCACAGTTGTGTTGTTTCCACACTGTTGAAACTTTTAAAAGTGGAACTGCTCATGAAAAAGTCCTTTCACATTGCATTTGTTTTAAACCAGCGTTGTTATGTAAGAGCCTCCCGCCCCCTCAGAGCTTTTCCTCACTATCACCTTGGCCGACCGCCAGCTGCCGACAATGCACACACAACAAGACTGGAGCCAGATTTGTCGCTCATCATACTGTCACACAGAAATCTACCACAGCAAAAAGAAAAGGTTACGGTTTCTCTGAGAAATCTGATCATAAATCTTCACTGTGACCAACAGCAACAATTACAGTGAGAAGGGAAAATCTCCAAGCGAATACTTGCAGCGATTATCGAGTCATGTGCCTTCTTTCTCATGAGTGGAAAGGAGCATGGGGGATAAACATGTCAAACTCCTGGTGGTTGAGGCCTTCAAACCCCAGACATTATCTTTTGTAATGTTTATAATTTGTAATGTGGGACGATGGTAAAATATAAATCTTTTTATATCCCTAAATATTTATCGTTTATTTTACCTCATGCTTAGTCTAATGAGGATGTTGCCTTGCTTCTCTTATGACAGTCTCTCACTAATGTCCCAGTGTAATAACCAAGAAATCCAAATAATAAATCAAGTAAACAACGGTGACACTGACGATAAAAGCGTTAATTTAAAATGCAAAAGGATGAAAAAGGAACCTCATCAGGAAAAGTGTTCTTCATGTATAACAAACATGTGTAACAAAGACATTAACCTTGGTCCTGACCCAATCAAAATCAAAGAACTTTGCAGAGCGGTCACATTATTACAGGGTTTCTGGATGAAGTTTTTCTTTGATAAACTAATTGCCAGCAGACGAGCCATGCATTGCTGCTCATTCACAGCTTGAAGTAGCAGCATGAGTGAAGAGCCGTATCTAAAGTATCCAAACCTTCAGGGGATACGTCACATATTTTGGATTTTCTTACAAACTTAACTTAACCTGTTCTTTACTTCTACAGAGGAACGATAACAATGCTGACAAGCAGACGCTCATTTAACTAGAGGGCATAAGTGAACGAATTATCATTACGTGCCTCAATGTCTAGTCTGCAAATGTTGCCATGCACTACCAAAGGAAATGATCCCAGTTTGATCTCAAAGTGATGTAACTTCCTTGACCAGCTGCATGTGATAAAAATAACAAATGACTGAACATGTGTGTCTTTTTTTCCCCCCACCACCTCTTTCTCTCGCTTCGCTGCACATTAGACTCGATTTCAGGCTGTTAATAATGTCAGTGACACATTTCTCTTGAGCAGTGATATGCATCTAAAACACACCTCAGGCAACACGCGGGAGATTTTTAATTACCTGGCAGTGACTTAGCCCACTTGACTGCAGAGATGACCTGCTGCCCCCCCAGCCTGTTGAGAGTGGTCATGAGTCGTGTGGAGGTGTCGGGCAGAGTGCTGTCGTAGCCAGAGTAGATGATCTCTGGCTCGATGGCCTTGAGCACAGACAGCATGGTCGGCACAAGCTGGGGCATCCTGGGGATGACGGGGACTGGCATGTTGCTGATGGGCTCTGCCGATCCAGTGGGCCGGTGCACTTTCATCTTGATCAGCTTCTTGTTTTTCCTCGCTGAAGGGAGAGGTGGAGCAGAGGAAATGAAAGAGAGGAATGGGGAAAGTGAGCAGTGACAGTCTGTTTATTGTGAACTTGTTTTTTTTACTTTTTAGGAATGAGGCACTGTTTTCAACACCTAAGAATCAGCTAAAGGATCTTCAACCGTAGTGACTGCCTGAAGGTGGTAAACTAAATTCAATAGGGTTCAGATTTAGAGCTCAATTGATTTATCAATTTGTGGATAAAAATCAGTTGATACGAGGCTTTAAACTATTATTTTACAGGAGCTTAGATGTGCATTTATATTTCCATTTTATGTCTCAAAATTTTTATTTTACTTAATAAATATAATATATATTTTTCAAAGAAGTTTATCTGCCTATGTATCTAAAATGTTGGAACGAATTGGCATCGCCCCCAAAAATCCATATCAGTCTACTGCAATCCCCCCAATACATATTCAATTATATTATTTATCATACCCATTTCCACTGAGATTAAAGTAAAAGTAAATGTACCAGGTTACCCTTATGATGCATCAAGAAATCAGTCACAGTATCAAAGGGAGGAGAAATAAAAGCAAAAGGAAAAGAACATCCCCCCCGGTCTAAACACGACCACCAATCACGTTATAAAATATCCTCACCTGGTCTTAGTCCTCAGCTATTTTTACACACTCTGCCCCCGCTGGCCCGAGCCCACCTCATACTTTAACTCTGATGTAAAACTGAAACAACTGTTTGTTGGTGGTTGGCAAGAATAACAACAATAAAACAAACCCATGTTTTCTGACGAGCCACTAAGAGGTAAGAAGAATTCATGGAGCTGTGATTGTGTAATTAACCTGCAAAGTCCTCAAAACCTTTCCATTTCTCAGGGGAGACTTTTTTTCCCACATGTACATGTAGTTTCTCTTGAGTGCAACAACAGGGGTGGCAGATAACTGTGTTTTTGCTCACAATATGTAGATCATCTAGGAATCATTTTGACATTTTCTCCCACAAAATGTGCAAAACATGTCAGGGGGTAGGAGGTTATCATGAAAGAGCGTGTTTTTCCTACTCTCTACCTTTTTTTAATTTCCTCTCCTGGTGTTTCTATGGCAACTAAGAGCCTTTCTGGTGGGAGTTTGTCTGCTGATTCACTGACGTCCATCAAATCCCTCTCTCTGTCTTTCTCTCTCCCCTCCCCCCCGTTGAAACTACCTTCACCTTCGCCTGACAAACAAACACAGCACGGCTTGAATGCAATCTCACTCAACACTAATTTGTTCAAGCGATTGACAACATTTTACTGCCCTGAGGGAGCTTCAGAAACACAAGAACCAGGTTCCAGGTAGGGCTGGGCAATATGGCCTAAAACAAATATCGCAATATTTTTAAGCTATATACACAATACTATTTCTAAATATCAGGGCCTCCTGATCACTGAGCAGCTGTCTCCTGTGCACAGGAGAGTTTTCTGGATGGATGGGGGAGTGAGCTATCTGCTGTGAGAGGGGCATGAGAAGAGAGAAGCGAAACTCAAAGATACGTCGAGTCTATTCAATATGTATCACCCGCCCCTAGTTCCAGGCACTTAAAGTACATGTTGTACACTAATTGTTGCTTCCCATGTTCATCTACCTCAACCCTGACGGACCCTTGTTGTTGGATTGTGTCCTTAACATTCACCATCTGAAGCAGCATCAGGTGAACGATCATCAGGTCATCCTAGGCTTGGACTTGAGAGTAGATGCATTATGCATTGATCATTATGGCCTTTATATCAGCAAACAAGTGCAGACCCACATAGACACTTGTGCAGTTGATGTACACTGCAACCATAAAACATTCAGGAGGACTTGCACATGAGGTTTCAACAATCGTCAGTGATTTTCACAGGCCAATGAAAGAGATCGTTTATTTCAAAATTGTGGCTCTATTTTTGTGTAATAGCTGTGCTCACATTCAACGCTTCCCTTGAGAAGAAACATTCTCCACAGAGCTGTGGCATATTGCAGTCTTGACACTATACTCGCCTGGAGGCCATTCATTCACATATCTCAAGGTCTGACTTTATCGTTCTTAAATCTGCAGACCTTGAAAGCATCAAAACCACTAATTCAAAACAGATCTTCAAGGCATGCAGGTAATCTGCTTTCATTTCAGTCACTGTTTTCACAAAACCACTGTTTTTCAACCAAAAGTTAAAATCCCAGATCTCAGAGTAATCCCCTTATAAGATAATAATGGGAGCAGAAACATTACATCGGAGGTAAGAGTATAGAAACAGAAGAGACATTTCCAGCTAGGAGAAAGGACAATACAGAAGAATAAAAGAAGCTGTGAGAGACAGAATGCTTCGGTGATGTATTTGTCATGGAATGGTGAAAGCAGAAGATCTTTCAGGAAAAGAGCTGCTCTCCTCATTTCAGCCCTCCCCTGTCATTACCCAGGCTTTGATGCTGTATATAACATCCACAGTGATGGTTATGGGTTAGGTTTAATGTTTGTGTGCATGTTTTTTTCCTTTTACATGCATGTTCCTTTCCTACTGACATGTCACATTTTATACAACATTAAATCTCACTGTTAAAATAACGAATACAAAAGAAAATCCTTCTTTTTCAGTTTGACCCAACAAACAAAAACCTTTCGCGTTTCTGAAAATGAACTTTCAGCAAAACAAGATGATTCAACATCTTGCTGCAACATCTGGAAACAGATGGGGTTTATAAAATGTTAAATATATTATCGAGTACCAACATGTTCTATAGTCCTGTAACAGAATATGTCTCTCAAATGAAAGTTATCCCTTTACTGACTGCTGCTTTAGCCTGATATTTCAATAGCTGTTCAGTAATTCTACTGTAAATGAAATATAATTTAGTATAATTTGCAAATATCAAATCATAATGAATCATCAGTTTTCACACCAGCAGTGCACATGAACAGTGCCTCAAATGTACCCACAGTAGCATACACTTAAACACGATGGCGGTATGATATGAGATGTACAGTGAAGGTTTATTTTGATTGTTAAGGGGTTTGTGTTGTGATTGATTCATTGTGCAAGAGTTAGATTGTGTCTGATTTGCTGATGTGATTTAAAATGAGTTGGATCAACTCTTATTTAAGAGCTGGTTAGCAAAGTTTGATTGAGCACTTATTCTTGGTCTTGACAAAAGCATTTTTGTGAAGTGTTCGTCTTGGAAAATTATTATTTTCATAAAATCCCTCTCTTTTGTCGTGCACTAAAACACTTCAATACTTCTACAGTAATTTCAGGTGACTGGCTAATCCAGCCCAACATATAAAACTGCATCGTTTACAAAGAATGTGGCTGAGCTCTACTTGATTCATTTTACCCTGTAGCTGATAAGCCATGCAAACCTTTTCTGTGTCCAACAAATCCCCCCGTCATGTCGAATACACCCCACTCACATATTTTATTTTACCTAGACATATGCCATATTTAGACAAACTGAATCCACTTGAACTGCCATTTCGCTGTGACTCTAAAGCCAGTGTGTGAGTGATGGGAGCCTTTTGAATGTAGCCTGGCCTGTTTACCTTCCAAGTTCATTCCGGCTTGAAGACATTTCCTGAAGCGGCAGGCTGGACAGTTCTTCCTGCGGATCTTATCTATGATGCAGTCGTTCCTTCCTGCACAGAGATAGTTGTGTTGGCCTGTAAAGGGGAGAGGAAGAGGAAGAAGGGAAGAAGGGAAGAAGGGAAGAAGGGAAGAAGGGAGATATTAGCAGGCTAAGTGGGTTTAAGAGGGATTAGTCTGAGCAGTATGTATTTTGACCACACTAACATCTTTTGATTTTACAGTAAGTCTGAAAAACCTGTGGCTTCCCACTGGTGTTGAAAGCTTTACTTAAAACACATGGCACAATCTATAATTGTGAGTTCTTGTAGGCCAACAATTAAATATTCATGGCCAACTTTCCCATTGTGGCACATGACCAAGAATCAAAATGTTCCACAATGCTTCCTTTTCTACATAATAATTATTTTACTAGCTGAGATCACTGCCCTACAGAATCAGGATGAAGGCACACAAAGCAGGGACACAAATGTCATTCAATTAAGTGAATTTTAATAAGAGACAGAAGGAGTTATTTGACCAGAGGCAAGAATTTACTGTGTGTCGACTCCATCAAACGTTTTGTATGTCAGTGATGCACAAGCAACACTATTCACAGATACAAATTTAATCAAATCTGATGAAAAGATCAAGCCCAACAGCGAATCAGTGTGCATCTCAATACTCTCCAGAATCCCTATCCTGTGGCTTTCCACCCCAAGCTCATTATTTCCTACTCCATCCATCTATCCATCTTCTCGCACTTATATGGGGTCAGGTCATGGAGGCAGCAGGTTAACGAAGGCAGCCCTCTCCCGAGCCACATTTTGCAGCTCCTCAAGGCTCTAGTCCGAGCCCCCTGCTGATATCGGAGTTACTTACCCTATCTCTAAGGCTGAGCTCAACTACCCTGTGGAGATAATCAATTTCATCCACTTGTATCTGCTATTTAATTCTTTCAGTCAATACTCGATGATTAAATCATAGACTGACTTGAAAATTGAAAAACTATGCCTTCGAACGCCTGAAAACTCATCAATCCATCTGTCAATCTCCCGCTCCTTCGTACCCTCACTCCTGATCAAGACCCCTTAATACTTTAAACCCTTCACTTGGGGCAGAATATCAGCCCCCACTGGAAGGAAGCAACCTATCATTTTACGGCAGAGAACCATGACCTAAGACTTAGAGGTGGTCACTTCACACTTGGCTGCAAATCCATCCAGAACATGCTGAAGGTCGTGACCTGATAAAGCCACACAACAACATCATCTGCAAATAGTAAAGATGCAATTCTGAGGCCTCCAATCCCAACCTCTCCTCCCTCCCAGCCAAAGCAGGAAATTTCGTCCATGAAGATCACAAATATGGATTAGGGACAAGGGACAGCCTGACAAAGGTCAACACCCACCCAATACATATGTGAGATCCAAGAAAACAACTATCATTCTGGTTATGGGGACTGAATGTTTCATATCACGGCCCCAGGAACTCCATATTCCTGCAGTACCTGTCTGACTCCCCTAAGGCTGAGCAGTGTGATATCTGGATAGTTAAAGCTAACCTAACCTTAAGCCTTTTTAAAAAACGGGAACAATCACCCAGGTCTGCCTGTTGTCAACCTCCTAGCAAGTCAGCCAAAATAGTTCAATAATGTCTGCAATTTTCAGCATGTCATGGAAAATCCCACACATTGTTCATCAACTTTATATGATTTATTTCTACTAGTTAATTTCTGTTCTTAGGCATTTCATTTTTTGACATGTGTTGCTAGTGCTATCTCCTGAGCCTTTCAAATGTCAAAAGCTCCTGGTACATTAACACATATGTAATGATTCTAAGGTGGTTTTAAGATATTCATCCACCAACGTTGCACAAATACTAAAAGACATCCTGTGGAAAACCCAACAAAAATACTGGGACTGCAGGATGATCTATTTTACATCATATTACAATGTCAGTTTGGCAGAAGGAGCCTGGGCCTGAATGTTGCTTTTAGCACATACAGTACTTGTCTGACAGAGCCCGAGGAGAGTCACATGAATCTTATTTTTCAAGCATCAACACATTCTTTTGAGTTCAGACTGAGACATAATCAATCTAATGGACAAAATAAATGAAGGGATGAAGCATCATGCCAAGCATGCACAGCCATTTTATAGGTTTCAGTTATCTGAAATCCAACCGTCTACGATCACATCTCACTGATTTCCAACTAACTGAGACATGATTTTACCTGCACAGCAACCAAAGCTGCCTCTTATGTCTGACAATCCACAGGTCTAACATTTAGCTTCATACAGCTGCTGAGTGTGTTTTAGATACATAGTAATGAAGGGTGGGCACTGAGCTGCTGTATAATTTGGAAATTTAGAGAGAAAGAGATGAAAAAAAAAGAACAAATCAAACAAAACAATGGCAGCTTCTTTCAAACTTGGTTATCCGACTGAAAGGATCCATGCTGCATCTAACCTAAGGGCTAATTACGTTTAACCTGTTCAGCTCAAGCTCTGAAAGAGAAACCCACAACCATATCACAGCATTTTTGCATTGAAAATTGTAAAGTAAAAGACAATATGCTCTCATTCTGGGTGACTGTGTGAATAAATTATAAGATACTCCCCATCACCAATGACTGTAGCTATGGAGAGGTCAGGTAAAGCCCATTCATTAGTTACTCCTTTCATAATAGCATTACTAATTATAGGACAGACACAGAGATTACTCTGTGAGCTGTGGCAAAAGCAGAGGATACGATAAATAAAAATAGCAGCATGGAACCTTGCCATGTTCTTAAGACTTTGTGAGATAGTCACAATTGATGCAGAGATCATTGTACTGGATGATACAATAAAACTTAACTTGTTCTGCCTTCACTTGTTCAAAAGCCTGGTAAGTATTACAACAAAAACTGAACTCAGAAAACAAACTAAATGTCTTTTTACATCTGCCAAAGAGATTATGTTCTGTGTAATTTGTGTTTGTCTGTTTGCTAGCAGGATGATGTAATAACTACTATCTGATTATCTCGAAACTTTTTGGAAGGATGCAGTTTGGGCCAAGGAAGAACACATAAACTTTTGGAGCAGAATTGATTTAGAGGGAGAACCAGGATTTTCCCCCTTATTTAACGAGATAGGGCACATTTTTATGAATCTATCAGGCATGTCAATGACATCAGGTTTGCTGATTACTATGAACGGGTGGAATTTGGTGCAGTCCTGGAGAATCATTCAGATTTTGTGGATACAAATATTTATTGTAAGGCAGAAGAGTTTTATTCAGTTTCTGTAACTGTACAATTTGAAACCTGCAACAACTAACAATAGGGTTAGGGTTAGGTGCAAGCAGTTTTGACAGATCTCTAATAGTTACAGAGGTACGTCAGGACAAATTTTGAAGTGTGGCAAATAGAGTGGCAGAGATATGTCTCTCCAAGTGCCCTTCTAGTTTTAGTCTGTAGTAATGTCTGAGCTTTAACAGACCAGCATTGTTGATATTTGAAAGGCTGTCAATGCATTGTTACCTCAGAAAACAGTGAGTCAGTTCCCTTTACATTATTTCCCTTCCTCCTGTACACCCAGTGAGTGACTATACTGAACATACTACAGCAGCCGGAATACGTGTACATGAGTACCTGCAAACAATGAATGTGGGACATCAAGCAAATGATTAGCTCAGCTTAATGATACTCTCCAGAGGCAGTGTCCTATATTGATAGTTCTATAGTTCTTAAATCAATGTGGAGCAAACATGAGCCTGTATGTCATGCACGTTAACATATATAAATCTAAAACACTCCTTACATGTGTTAAGGCTGAATTCTATGAATATAATAATAAAGTTAAATATTATAGTAGTGGTATTATTATATTATATTATATTATATTATATTATATTATATTAAATTATATTATATTATATTATCAAGACATTTGTCAAAATCACGGAGGGAACTAGCTTTGAAACTCAAGAATAATCATATTCCACAGAGACTGGAAATTAATCTGCAGGGCTGGTGGTGTGACAACAAGATAGCAGCCTCGGGGCTGCCAGTTGCAGCCATCACTGATATCACAGGAAGACATTGCAAACAACGGCGTAAACAGCCATCTGTGGTGTCAAAAGTGCCAGCTGATTCCTACTGATATCCTCTCTCCCTTATCCTGCCCTGATCTGTTAACAAGGACCTGGCAGCACCCCTCAGCACAGGCTGATGAAGCCTCAGGCTGGTATCTGTAGCTCACACTCGCTGATGGGCTCTAACAAGAAGTGGTTAGTTAGCTACCCTGTTCTTTTTTTGTTGGTTGGTTTGTTTTTTAAGCACTGGACAGGTTACAATGAAACTTGGAGGAAAGATGCAGTGTTAGTCAGAGAAGAACTTATACAATGTTGGTGTGAATCTGGATTATAAGGCTGGTCCAGGAATGTCTTTCTTTAAAGTTACAAGGTTTAAAAGCTTAACATTTTCTCTGATTTCCCAGAGGATAATTCCTGGAACTTGATGAAAAACAAATCTGGCGTATTTAGGGGACTGATTATTTTAAGTGTGTGTAATGTGGTGCAGCTTGATTCAATTTAAGGGGACTTTAGGAACTTGGCAGAGGTAGGCGCTCTAATGAGTGCCATTCTCAGTAATTAATCTGATTGGCTGCTAATTAAGAAGCAAACAAACGCTTGTATATGTGAAGTTATGACCAGCAAGGATGGTGTTTTTGCACCACACAGGGCAAAAGGAAACTGGCATATCACAAATGTGCGACTTTGGCAATTCACATGGAAACTGCAAGTAACAGCTTGGCCATCTTGCTGCTGCTAAAATACTGATACAAGATGATAAGTCCAGCAGGATGATCAGTATTAGCCATGATATTAGGAAGACACTGATTGGAAAATTATTAAAGGAAAGTGATTTGTTTAACATGTCTGTCACTGCTATTACAGGAACCAGGATACAGCCTAAATACAACAATCAGCAGAGGCAAGGAAACACAAAGTTACTGAAAAACACAAAAAAGAAAAAAAAAACGGGAGTTTTCTGACATAAAATCTAAGGAGGTTAATGTGAGTCAAGTGCAAAGAAATCGGTCTAATTTGTGATAGGGCGTGATTGCAGTTATTGGCTCGGCCACCTGTGAGGACGATGAGGTGGAGCAGTCCAAGCAGAAACTCAATAGAAAAAAAAATCACTCACAGGTAATTTGCACTGACTTGAATTACCATATCAGAATATTTGCATGCATTAACAGATAGTTTGCAGAGGAGACTACACAGAGTACATGTTGAGGCAGATTGGTCTTATTTTAGTGCTGGAGGAAAATACAGTGAAATGAGCAAATCAGAGGCTATAGTTTTATCATCATCATCATCATCATCATTCATTATTATCATCATCTTCATATTATTATTATTATTATTAAAAGTGCCTTATTTACCATCTGTGTTTTGTCGTGCTCTCCATCCTTCACCATAAAGACAACGACCAGAGAATGGAGAGTTGTGGGGGGAGAAAAACAAGAATAACATATCTCAGTGCTACTTTCGGCAGCTCTTTTCAAAATAAAAGTCACACTTCCATTTGAGTGCTTGGAAAACACTGCAGAATAAAACAGCTGATTTAGAAGGTAATACTTTCACACAATCATACAACTCTAGAGATTAATTGTAACGGCTCATTTCAAGTGCTTGTATATATAATTTGACAAGTTTATACATATATTCTCTAAGAGTAGTAGCCTATAATACATTTCATTGCAGTAAGGAAACTACGAATGCTGACATAATTAACCACCGGTCACATTTTAGTCCAGAGCTGTTGCGTAAATCAAATAATCCATGGTCACACTATCAATTTACATTCAGAATACTGATTTCCCTGCAGTAAGGCTGGTCACTAATTGTATTATTTCACTAGCAATGTTAGTGACAGACATGGAGGAGATAGGCAGATTGTGAGTGTGCAAAGAAAACAGGCTGTAGGTCTTATAACTGTTTTTGCAATTTTTAAATCTGTGCATTAAGTACCAGACCAGGGTCAATATAATAAAAAGAGTGGTTTAGCAACTTTTTACCAGTAAATTGTTTATGAGTATATATGCAATAGTCCGTATATGGAAGAGAAGCAGAGCTGGGGCGGTGGATTGCACGGTAGAAAGTATTTATCACAAACTACTTTCCATTTGTAAGATGCATTCCTGCCCCTCTCATCACACAGCGATTTCGTCAAGGCAATTAGTTTTAAGATGAACTTCCTGACACACATACTTCTTGCCTGAGACATGATCTGAATTCTGTAGTTGAATGGCTGTGTTGAGATTGACATATAAAAAGACAAGGCAATACTATGTTAATGGAAAAGTGTCATGGTAGTAGTTATATTTTTCATCAAAATTGCTCATTTCTAACTTGTAATTTTGTTCCTGGTTGTTTCAGGACAAACAGGAGAATAAAAGAGAAGGTGAGGGGCGGTGACATGCAAGGTCGGGACCAAGATTCAAATCTGCAAAAGCGACTACATGATGTGTGTCTAGTGAAGCTCAACAAAAGCACAACTATTCCACTCTGACATTGACTTGTGAGACACGATTTGATTTTTATTCTGCAAAAGAAAGTTGAAATGGCTGAAGCATACAAAGGCTTCAAGAGATGACCTTATGTAATTTAAATGAATGAGTCTTTGGAACAAAGTGTCACTGATGTTAACTGCTATTAGGTCCACATGTACAAGGTTGTGAATGTATAATGAAGAATATATGCAAATTTGATTAAACCTTGTGTAAATGTGGCCAGGATTACTTGGTATAAAATGAAAAAAGAGACATTTATGTTATGTGCTTCTCGAAGCCTCTGCACATTTATAGACCGCCCATGCACGTGTTTTGTGATTAGACCTCTTCTAAATACTGTGTGGGTGTGGACAAACTGGATTTGAGTTTTATGACATCATAAATTCATCCCAGATTTCCAATCATTTCCAACCTGACCAGGTCCAATCAGTCAGAGTAATTAAGAAAACATCTGGTGGTTGTGTGCACAGGCTTTAAAACATCGGTGTAAATCCTTTCATCTGTCATTATGGCGTGTGTCACGTTGTGGTTAATGATTGAGTGGTTGACTGAAGGAGTAGATGCAGAAAAGGGAAACCAACCTTCGACCGCCCTCTTGAAGAACACCTTGCAACTGCCGCAGGTTACGACACCGTAGTGGCATCCTGAAGCTTCATCCGAACACACCAAACAGATCTTATGGGTCGGACCGCTGGGCTTGGACAGGCCTGGCACAGCGGAGCTGCTGTTCTCTCCTGTTCTGGGAGACGAGCTGGAATGTAAGCAGAGGGAGACAGAGAGAAATGTGAAGACGGTCGACCTAAAGATGTTTGTTGCAAATTCAAGAAAGTGGGCATAGGCTTGGTTTGTAGGTATAGACAGCCTCAATGGCATATTGTATTGATGTGGGAGACAAGACAACCGTTCGGACAGATGTAGTCTCCTAAGGAAACACCTTAACTAACAAATATCTGAAAATTGATCAACATAATAGTTCTGTTCTTTCTTTGTTTCCTGTATGTCAATTATGTCTTTATTCCATGAAATTCATACATGAATAAATATAGAAAAGAATACAGAAATATTTCTCAACTGAATGAAGGATTGTATGAATTGTGTGAAAGAAAAGTTAAATAATGATAAACATTTCTGTTGTGATTATTTGTGGAGACAGATTTTTCAATGTTTCAATGAGTATTGCTCATAATATTTACAGAACTGAACAAAATTAAATGAACGATATTATATTATGTGTTTAGAAAGAAATGGAGTCCAACAAAATGAAAATTGGAAAACTGAAAACAAGGATCTTTAATTGATTATTGATGTTGGCGACATTTTTTTAAATGATTGTTTTTGTTTCCTCAGAATAGAATTTCATTTTTTCACACTCGTAAAAGAAATGTTGATACTGTATTGAATTACTGAAGCTCGAGGAGCAGAGGCTTGTCCCTACATGACCGCGGTAGAAATTAAACCCAGTGAATCATCATCGCTGGTGACAGATCCTCTGCAGTTCCAAACAAGTCTTTGATTTGGTCATTCATGTGACCAAAAATCTGTCAAGTGTGACTAAACATTTTCAGTGGTCTCACCAGTGCACTTGACATTTAGCAGGTCTGGTTCTGTGTGTGTAAATGTTTATGAGTTATTCTTTTCCCACCCACATTCTAAGAAAACCTGCTCCTGCTCTGCCTCTGCCTGCCTCTGACACTGATATTCCTCATCTCTGAATGCAGGTAGGGGAAATGTATTATGAATTTTGCAACTCCACCCTTTATATCTCCTGGAGTAATATCACAACTTTAAAAAAATTACCAGGTTTTCAAAATGACAATAACAACTGACTGTTTCAAGAATAATGCTGCAGTGTCCGGAATCACCTGTCCCCAGCCCTGATAGACCCAGTCCATACCCAACACCCCTCTGACAGCTGTCTCCCCTGCCCCCTCTCCACGGCAAGACATGTAACACTGACCCAACATCTTGGGCGAAGATGAGCTCATCTGACTCAGAGCCAACAACCTTCAAACATATACATGCCTTTTACAAAGAATGAGTTGTCTCATTTCCTTGGCTCCTCCTAAATAATAAAACACATTGCATTTGTTACAAAGAGAAAACGATGCCTTTGCATAGAGTTAAAGTTTAAAAAATGTACAATGGCTCCCAGAAACACATCCTAAACCATGACAGGTGTTTGGACAGAAGAAGTAGTCCCCCCCCCCCTTCCCAAAAGGGGAAGAATGCCAACCTCTGACCATCTGAGGCGCATGGGCCAGCTGGGGGGGGGGGGTGAATCCAGTGGGTGCGAAACCAGCGAAACCACAACAGCGAGCTTAGACCCCTCCCAAGCCTACACTTGTGTTACACTGCAAATGAAAGCCTTGCTTAAAGAACTTGAGAGATTAACATACGCACACAAAGCTGTCATTATCCCTGGTTGTCTATAATTAGACTTAAAGCAACTGAGACACCTGAGCATCGGCATGAAGCTTAACTAGGCACTGAGACCAATTTGTCAGATGTATTGCAGGCAAATTGTCAACATGTCAGATGAGAGTATGAGGTAATAGGGACGTGTGGTGGCCAGACTCCAGACTAGTGTTAGACTGACACTGCTCCGAGATCCACGACAGGAATTTGACGGCATTAGAAGGGCTTAAATGTACCTCTGTTTTCTCCCTTGATTGTTTTTGCAGCACCCTAGTTGGAATGTATATGGGAGTAATGTAAGGGAGCTGGCTTGCTAAGCTTGATAATGACTTGACATTCAGAATCTATAGATATTTTGGTGTTGTAATCGACTAATACTCAAAGAATTGTTTCTGGGGTTTTTTCTTTGCAAGGTCTCAAAGCTACAAAACCCTGTTTGCGAGACAGTAGTGTGTGAAATAAAATTTAGCTTCCAAAACGCAGACCAGGAGCCACACCCCCACCCGTAACCTCCAGCTAGCATGACCTAACTTTATCGCGGATGGTGCCTCATGGTCATTGGAAAGACAGCACTCGCTTATGTAAACTGGACAGCGACCAAGGGGAGTAGAGGTGCTTGATCTTGGCAGCGTCCAGCTAAGTTTATATCTGCAGCTTAACAGTGAACTAGCCAAGATCATTCAAGACACATGAAGACAGGTTTGGCAGTCGTCTGGACAAAATATACAATCACACAGTTTTGCAGATGACATAAAAGCAGTGGGAAGGGAGAGCAGGGAGCTTGTTCCCAGAGTCTGAAAGAGAGAGACTCTAAATCTAGAAATATCATATCCTGTATATTCCAAGAGTCCATGCATCATTTTGGCTCATAGAAAAGTTCAGTATGGCACCGAAATGAGAATTTAGAGAGGACTAGCTTTTGTGGTCAAAAGTACACCAGTGCAAAAGGTTTATTCAAACATACAATATACATAAGTCAACCTCAGACCATGGAAGGTTGCATGACTTGAACCTAAATGACTATGTACGCTTTATTCAGAAACTGTTTTTAACTCTCCTCCTCATTTTAAGGCGAACACATCCATAGGCGCCCTGACGGCCACAAGTGAATTTGTTGTAACATAAGGCTCTATTCAGTATAAGAGTTATATATAAGGTTTACAGCAATACTAACATGAATTTCCACAGTGATCACATTGCCTAACATTACCTGTGCAGACTGACGAGACTCTATCTGCAACATTGGCTCTCAGGAAATATACGCTAATATGTACCATACTCAACTTTGGATTGTCAGTCAGGTAATAATGGGGGTGTTTATGGAAACTGTCCTCTTTTAATCTACGTTAGAACTAATTCAACTGTGGTGCAGATCCAGGGTTTTTATTCTTTATTTTCTTTAACATTACGAAATATGGAATTTTAATAATTTCCCAACATTTTCAAAGATTTCTCAGTGAAAAATTCAAGGATCTTGATGAAAAAAGGATCAGGACTGTTAAGGAAACTCATATTTATGAACATGTCCAATTTGGTGCAGATTCAAATAGAGATTGTGATCTAAGGAATTTAAATGGGGTTTTGTGAGGGGACTGCTGGGCCTTGGCAGAAGTATGTGCTTCACTGAGTGCCATTCTAATGTTTAATGTTTTCTTTTTAATGATCCTTTCTGTTTTTTATTAGAGACTATTTTGGTATTTTAATGTTCATTCAAGAGCTAAAAAACATGAACATGATACACAATTCCATTTGGGGTTTTCTGTTAAAAATATGCTGGTAGTGTAAAATGACCACAGGGTGGAGTATGAATTATAACACCACCCACCCACCCACCCGCTGACTCCTGCTCTAACTTACATGCTCCTCCTTTCACTCATCCAACAAGCATGGCTCAGAGCCGCGCAGCACAGTTTCAGGCCTCATTAGTTTTGTCTTCATACTGGACGACACAGCAATAAACAACTTCACTTCAACTTTTGTTTGGTCACTCACACACACACTCAAAAAGTATTTGTGTGTGCTGATGGACAAGAGCAGGGGAAACATGAGCAAAACGTGTGAAAAAACAGAAAAAAGGAGGTTGCACTCTCTTTGCTGATCTCTGCCCACATTTCCACAAACGTGTGTGAACACATTTATTCTTATTCTTATTTATTTATTTGAAAATCTGAGTGAGCTACTCTGTGCTGAGGGTTTGAGGCACGATGCCAGTCACTTCTGTTCCTCTGTGCGAACACATGGAAACAATATGTGTCAATACCAACAGGCTATTCAGAAATATTGGAGGGCCTTGGCAGCAAGACTTGACAATAAGACAATAAATTAAACGAAACTCTGCCACAACAGACAGCAGTGTGCCTGCAGGTCTTTGTTAAGAATGCACAAATATTTCCAGAGTGCGCAATGTACAACTGTAAGTCAGATTTTAACTTCTTTCCCCAGTTACTCAGCTTTTTATCTCATTACTGATAAATATTCACAAGAACATGAAAATGCCACCTGCCAACATGTTATGCTCACATTCAGGATCATATTTTTTATTTGGATTCTTACTTGAAAAGGTTTACATGCTCTAATGTTCAGAAAACACATCACTTTCCTCATATTGCCCATTGCAGCAGCTCCTCTTTTCAGCCTCTGTCTGAAACACTTGGTTTTAGCTCCTGTCTCTTTAAGGGCCCCCTCCTGATAAAGCCCAATTAGCTCTGATTTGCTAGCTAGCTCACTCTGTTGTGATTGGTCAACCACCTCCAGCAAATGTAATATCAACAAACGGTCTCCAAAGGACGACTGTCTGAACTGGGCTGAACTGCTGTGTCACTGGGGAACTCTAAACCAGCGAATACAGTGGGAACTGATTGAGAGCTAAACTTTTCCATCAAGATCAAAGCTTGTTGGGACTAATGTGTGGGAAAAGGAGGTATGAGATAGACGGTGGGAGAAAGAGCTGGAGAGAAACCGTCACAGTGGTCGACACAAACATAGAAACTGATCGACTTGGTCATACACATTGTTGTCAACATCTGAGAGCACTGTATGTAACGAAAGCATTAGAGATATTTCGATTAAAATCACGTGTCACTAAATGTCTTGTGGCTGTACCCTTTGATAGATAAAATTCTATTCTCTCATGGGAACTATGTCTAAGGCAAGTAAAAACATTAACGTTAGCGACACTTGATGATACACACAGCTGTTGTCTGGATGCCAGTCTATTGTTTGGTTTGTGGTTACCCTCAGAAAAAGACCGCATGAATTTCACATGTTAGAACATGTTAAAATCACATGTGAAATGTGTGACACATATGTGCCTGTGACATTTTGGTCGTAACATCA